AAAAAAAAAAAGAAGTAGAGCGTATGAAATACAACAGAATTCAACTTTATTGTTATTACTCTGTGACAAGCACAAAGCAACAAAAGGAACTCTCTGCATTGAACCCATCGCCCAGGGAGAAGTGTGGGGTTAAGGGTCTTGCTCAGGGACCCAGAATGACAGTCAATGGAAGTGGGGCTTGAACACTAGGACACAACTCCCCCTCCAGCTAAAAGTAAATTCAGCACTGATAATGATAGCACAAACATACTTATTTGCTTATGAGCATTAATATTTCTTCATTAATTCATTTCCATGCCTCCTATCTGCATTTGTTTTTTTGTTTTTTATGTTCCTGTATCTGTATTTTGTATTTTCATCTCTTTTTATTTATTTTTTGTATTATTTGTAAAGTGACCTTGAGTGTCAAGAAAGGCGCTGTTAAATAAAATGTATTATTATTATTATTATTATTATTATTATTATTATTATTATTATTATTATTATTATTCACATTATTTTCTCTTGTATTTATTTTTATATCTACAAAGGATCACACGCTTGTATACTTATTTAACTTCAATAAGTGCTGTGTATTTAGTTTAAATGTTCATTTGGAACACAGCCAGGGTGCATATATCTAATTACAATTTTTTAGAACTTTATGTTCTTTTCTAAAAGATTAAATCCATTTGTCAATCCAGTTGTAAAGTCTATAGCTCAAATAAAAGTGGCACAAAAGCTATGAAATATTATCTTTGTCTAATTTTTTATAACACATAGCCCACCATCTCCCATTAGGAATACAGTAGTTGCTCCCCAGCTCTGTCAAAGAAGGTAAAGTGTGTAAAACCATGGAGCACGATTCCTGGTTGCACTGTTTAGGTTTAATCTGATAAATCACTAAAATGACAGAATGAAATCCATCTCTTACTCCTCAAGGAAACATTTTTTCCTCTTGCTCTGACGCTTTTTTCTCTCATGGACACGTCTGAATTTAACAGATGGGACTAGCGGGGAGCGGACGCATTCTTTATTTTAAAACCTCAGACATGTTATTCTTGGAATAAGTAAAGCAAAATGCTCCACGGTCTGTAATGATATCACTGTTTGTGACCCTGAATGTGATTAATGAATCATAAAGCCGCTTGAAGCTCAGTTGGGGTAAACAGGCAACGCTATGCGATGCAGAGTCTGAATCCACGGTTTATTCCTGATGTTGTTGGAAAAGCATGAGCAGCAAAGCGTGCTTATGTTCCGCCGCATTTAAAAATATACACTTACTCGAAAGAAAGAGGAAAGCGACCTAGTATAAATCCGGATCAGTCCAAAAGCACAAAGGAAGTAAGTAGCTTTGTCACTTTGCATTGCAAGAAATGTAAGAAACACTTGCCTTTCTGATAGGAGATTATAGGGAAAATGAAGAACATACTGTATATCGCAAAAGTATTCACACCCAGTGAACTTATTTAAAATTTTGATAAAACCAAAGGGTTTCTTTTTTAAATTGAGGAGTTTTTATAATACATCCTGTGCACCTGGCTTTAATAACTCTTTAATATTCTCTTTTGCAAGGAAAAAAAAAGATAGAGAAACAGGATTTTAGAAAATTCTTAAAAATGAAAATGAAAACTGTTTATTTATATTTACCCCCCTTTACTCTGATACCCTAATGTTAAATCTAGTCTGATCGAGTCCCAAGACAGGTCAGGTAAACAGAACAAAACAAGAACAGGCAGGCTCAGAGGTTGAGAGGCAGAACAGGTGTCATGTTGGGTTCAAGGCGTCTAACCCACATGCAGAAACCACTCTTGGAACAGGGAAAAAGTTAAATGATTTATTTACAATGTTTACAAGTTTATGGAGCACAGGTTCTGGGTTCTTCTGACTGGTCACGGGAGGGAAGCCACTGAGGAGGACAGAGCAGTTAGTGTTGATCCAGGAAATTTGCAGTTTACAGGTGCCGGGGATAAATACCTGCTCAGAGAGGATTCTGATCAGCAGGGGGGGAACCTTGTGGGTCCAGAGGCTAGTCGGCAGGCAGAGGGCTGAGGGCAGAGGCAGAGACTGAGACTGAGTGCAGGCAGGCAGATTCCAGACAGAGATTTCTTTCTCCAGGATTTCAGGTTTCAGAAAAGATCTGTGAGGCAGAGAGATACAGGGTCAGACAGGTTCACAAAATCAGGGTTTTCAGATCAGGCAGGCTGGCTCAGGTTTTACTAACCATTACTGGCAAACACTCTGGCAGGGAAGTGTCAGCCTCCTCCTCCTTAAATAGGTCTCCTGATGAGCAGACAGGAAACAGGTGTGTAGGAGTAAGCTCATGCCCTCAGGAGGAAGATCTCAGGCGCCCTCTGGTGGAGAAAGTGGACAAGCCTCCAGATCAAAACAACAGGAAATCAGAAACACTACGGTAATGCTGACCGACTCTCCCAATTAACTCTAGTAAAATAGTCTGTTAGGATAATAATCCTTGAAGATGTGTGAGTTTATTACACCTTGGTATTGGCTGCCTGATGCGTGTCAGAAAATATGTTTTCCACAATAGCTAACCTAATTAGGACACTTCCTCTGTCTGGATATACAGTTATAATCTTCATTTTGTATGTGGCAAAGATTTGGAAATGGAATGAGAGCGGTGTCCTTCGGCTAAGAACAAAGTGTAATATTTTGATAAGGCTGGAGCCATGGACGCCTAATCATCTGCTAACATGTGTGATGTAAAAAGTTATGATGTGGCAGACTGGAGATGTATAAAATGCCTTTTTAACTGTTAATCAGGGCCACTTCCTGAGAGGTGGACCCGGAGATGAGCAGCTGTCCTCTGTACATTCTAAGCAATTTCTCTGATCTGAGAAAGATTACAGTTTCTATCAGAATCTGTTGTTATGTCTTGTGTTTATTTAATCCATATAAGTTATGAGGTGTTATTTAAAGTGTTTGTCCCGAGTGATTTCTTCTCAGGGAAAGGAACCGAAGAGATAGAGCATCAAGGAGCATACATAGAGCCTATCTTTAA